TGCATTGTTTCCTTAGTCAGATTCAAAACATATATATATATGTCCTGGTTAGAACGGCTGGGACCAATTCATCCCTGGATGGGTGTAGCCCAAGGCTGTGTATTCTATAGCCTCCATGCCATTTCCCAAGAACTGCTGTCAGTAGAGGCCTGCAAGGTGGGAAGATGTTCCTGTACCCTTTTATGGAATTCCCCGCTCTGATATCCTTATATGGAATTCCCCGCTCTGATAAGAGGGACTGAGCATCCACATGCCCTTTTATGGAATTCCCTACTCTGAGGGAGGGACTGAGCACTCCCGCCTGAACTGGAGAGTATATAACTGGGAGTTTCAGAGCCTTGGGGCTCTCTCTCGTGGGACCCAGAGGAAGACAGCAGACCACCGCTGCTCCCAACCAGGCTGAGACCACCACCCTCGACTGGACTGCAATCACCACTTCTGACCAGACTCCAGCAGCTCTCCCACCAGCAGGTTTATTCCCTCTCCCTTTGCTTTGGACTCGGGGGGGTGGGCCAAGGTACACCACTTTTGTTCATACCCCAGGGTGCTGGGTTTGTACATTTGGGTTTTGTGGATTAAAACCAATTGTCTGTCTGTATAATTGTACTTATTGCATTATTTTAATAAATTGTTATTCTGACTTATAAATCTCTCTTTTGAATTGAGTTCATTTTGCCTTGCTGGTTAACTTTTAAACCAGCACAATATATAAACATATATATATAACAGGGTTTTCACCACCAGTTTCTGAATTTTTTTCCACTGTGAGATTTCATTGTTAGAAAAGAACTCCTGAAAGTGCACACTCATTCTGCTGTGTCACTTCATCACAGAATAATAGAATACAAGGCAGAAAGAGACTCAGAGATCATCTGGTCCATTTCTATGCCTACAGGCAAATTCAGCTATAATGAAAACGTTTCTGAAAAATGCGTGTTCAGCCTGCTCTGAAAGATCTCAGCTTCTTCCAGCAAGCCATATGGTCCTGTTATCATAAAGTTTTCCTAATGCCTAAATGTTTCCTGTTTTCTTTCATGCTCACTGCGTGTCTATATCTCTCCCAAGGAGACACGGATTACAGTTATTACCTTTTCATTTTTTCCTTGAAATATTTTAATATAACATGTATTTTTCCCTCTAGTGAGAGTATGAAGTTCTCTTGCAGATATCAGGCCTGTTACCTCTGAGTCTTCTGTTTTACTTCACCTTCTATCAGCTGTAAGAAATATCTTAATTCTTAAATGTTTCATGTTTAGTTGGGAAAAATACAGCTTGGCTTAATGCTGCCAGACTGGGCAATATAGGGTCATAAAGACCCTTTTTAGAGGTCAAAAGGCAAATTTAGCTTTGCACCAGAAGTTACAGTTTTCTTATTAATATTATTGAATTTACCCTGATAGTTTAGGAGGATAATATTAATTTTAGTCATCAGGAGGACTGAGCAATAAGGCTTGTGGCATGCCCACACTTCTGGACGGAAAAAGGTTCAGGTATCTCCAGAGGCGACCTGGATCTCTTTGCCACACTGGTGTTAATGAACTAAACAGTGACAGTGCCCATTCTCTGGCTTTGATGCTACTCGTGTAATCTAGACACCTCCATGCTATTAAACTCCATCAGCACCCAAAACCGGTCGGCCCCCTTCAGACGCCTATTGGAAATGCTCTGTGCTCATTCCCAAACTGGGAGCTGCCAGCTGGCCGAGGCACCCGTGCCAAGTGCTGTTCTTCCAGTGACAGGGCACAGGCCAGAGCGTCCCAGTGACTCTGCCTGTGCCTTGACTCTGATTGTCTTGTACAGGAATAGCACTTGTGTCCTATTTCACTAATTTAAGTGCGAAGTCATCTTTTCCCCACATTAGCTTGTTCTCTAAGGTCAGCAGGGTGCCTACAGAGGCTGGCACAGCTGAAGAAAAGATTTAATACATTGTGTCCGCTTTAAAATGATTTTTGCTCCTGTCAGTTTGCATTTCCAAGCCTACTAAGTAGGAAAAGCAGACAGTCGATTTACAACTGTCACTCTGAAAATGGACAAAATATCATTCAATAAATACTAAATTTTTCCATTAATTACAGGACTGAATGAAAGCTCCTTAGGGTTGTTTTTCAAAAGCGGGCAGGAGCAGCAATTAGAAAACTCTAAAGATCAAATACTAAACCGCAACATTAACTGTACTTTCAGACTGCTGGCAGGGATCCTGGAGAGTCGCGTGGTTGTTGCACCAGTACACAAAGAATGTTTTACAGGACTGTCTCTGATCACTGTTTTTCAGACGAACCGAATGCACAGGCACTTTTGTACAATTACCAACTCTGTTGCAACACACTGTTGACTTTTTTGCTGATGAAACATACTGTTTTCCTGTGGCAGTTCCTATTATTATGTTTCGGAGATTTGTTTTTTGGATCAGGGAACTTTGATTGTTTTTAAGAAAGAAAGAAAAGGAAAGAATGTGCACTTAGCCCAGGAGGCCAACTGTATCCTGGACTGCAGCCAAAGCAGCGTGGCCAGCATATCGAGGGAGGTGTTTCTGCCCTTCTACTCTGCCCTGGTGAGACCCCACCTGGAGTGTGGCTTCCATCTCTGGGGTCCTCAGCACAGGAAAGGTGTGGACCTGTGTGGAGGTTTTACCCCACAAAAATCCAATCTCCAAGCTTCCCCCACCTCCCCACAATGTACCTCAACACCAAAGAGAAATCAAGACAACCTGTTAGAGCAGGTCCAGAGGAGGGACACAAAAATAATCAGAGGGCTGGAATACCTGTCCTATAAAGACGGGCTGAGAGAGTTGGAGTTGTTCAGCCTGGAGAAGCTGAGACCCCAGGGGGAGATCTTGGGGCACCTTCCAGTAACTAAATGGGCAACAAGGGACCTGGAGAGGGACTTTTTATAAGGGCATGTAGTGACAGGACAAGGTGGAATGCTTTAAACTGAAAGAGGGTAGATTTATATTAGATATTAGAGAGAAATTTTTTACTATGATGGTGATGAGGCACTGGCACAGGCTGCCTAGAGAAGTTGTGGATGCCCCATCCCTGGAAGTGGTTCAAGGTCAGGTTGGATGGGGCTTTGAGCAAGCTGGTCTCATAAAGCTTATACTCCCCACAGTAGGGGAGTTGGAACAAGGTTATCTTTAAGGTCCTTTCCAATCCAAACCATTCTATGACATCTTTGAGACACAAACAGGCACACGCAACAAGAAATTGTAATTATATTGAATTCAACATTTGCATACAATATGCATGTGTACTTCAACTAATAATTTAGCCTGCAAGAGTGTTTCTGTTCATTTAATTATTGATGCAATAATGCCAGTATTTTTATTCTGCTTCTGAGAATAGAAAGGATAGACCACTTGTTAAAACAATGGGCCACATGTAAAGATCTATTTCTAATTCAGATGCTAGAATTCCTTTGTAATGCAGATAAGTCATTTAATCAGGGTGTGTCTCAGTTTCTTAATCTGAAAAATGGAATTTATAATACCTCCTGGTCCATAAGATTGTTGAGAGACTCAGTAAATTCTGTTTGAATAGTGTTGTGCAATCCCTAGTGTAATGTTCAAGTGCAAGATATTATGGTAAACGGAGAAGGGCTGTGTGCCAAACCTCTATGTCTTCTGATGGTGCCACCCCAAATTCACTTGTCACATCCCCCCCTAAATGTTATTTTAATTATACATATAACAGAGTATGTGAGTGTAATGAACAGTAAAGAAACCCTTAAGAACTGCACTTACTAGAACTGGGCGAATTTATTTCTGTAATTCTTGGTTTTTTGTTTCTGATTGCTCCTTATTTGTAATTGTTTCATTATCTTAATTCAAATAAAAGAAAGTTCAGAAAAAGAATAATTTCATGCCTTTTCTATTTGCTTAGTAAAATTCCACAGAGTATTCTAGGTTTCGTATAACTTGGGAATGATAGAGAGCAGAATGGGTTGGGTTTTTTCTGGTGAGCATTTGTGTTTGAAAAATTTTACTATTTGAATATGAGGAAATATGAGTATTTTCAGAACACACCACCAGCAAACCTGGCCACATTTGGAAGTTAATTCTTCAAGGCAAGAAAGGGAAATCTTTCAAATTATTTTTTCGTTATCATCATATTTATTGATCCTGTAGAGTTAGTTCTTTCAGTATGACATTTCAGTATGAAATAAAAAGTAGTATAAAATGCAGTTCAGAATTTCTCTTCAATAACTTTTCCTTTTATTTTAAACATGTAGCCCTTCATCTCCAACAACACTGGAAGCTTACCCTATTTAGTGGATATTAATTTATTTCAGTGTGTCTTGCAAGTGTGGCTTCTTTAAAAATGAAATCATCATTCACTCCTACTTCCGTGCATTCAAAAAGAGGTTGTCACAGTAATTGTGTGCCACCTCAGCTGTGGGGCTCTGTCTGTGGAGGTACAGCCACTCTCATGGCTCATGGCTCTGCTATGAGGCTCCTGAGCCCCAGGTTGCTTCAAAGGGGGTGAAGTGTGTTCTTCTTGTCCTACAGAACTTCTTTTCCTGTTTTACTTGATATTAGAGGTCTTCCTGTGCCATGAACAGGTCTAAGAATGCTGCATTATGAAAAGATCTTTTTCCTAGGCAGTGGGGTGGAATTACAGCTCTACCTCTGCCCTTTGTATTGGGCATCCCCGTACTGCAAAAGGATAAATAGAGACTGTTGTGGTCCCTGTTTCTTCAGAGCTCGCAGGGATCCCCTCCTTCCAAGCTCTCTCCAGCTGATGACACAGATCCTACTAGCAGAGGACTAAATCCTTCTGCAAAACCCCTAAAAACTGAGGCAGAAAGAGAGAACTGAGAACATTTCTCAGTTCAGATGAAGAGTGAGGATGACATAAGGGCAATGTGGCTTACAAAAGAATCACAGGAGAGGTATTCATTAAGAGCAGCTGCATTTCAAGGACCATGATTGAGGCTTGTATATGTTAACTTCTCTGTATTGTTAATTAACTGCATTATTTCTCATTATTTTTTGTTTCTTTCAGATTCCGTTGATGAAAGATCCTGGTTGGATTCGAAATGTCTGGACTCGCAATCTAAATGTAGGAATTTAATTGTTCATTTGCTTTTTCAACTCAGTGCCATAAAGCAGGCCTAGCTTGAAGCCCAGTGAGTCTTTGCTAAAGCAGGATCAGGCAGTGGTTAACTCTTCCCACCTTCTGTTACCCAGCTTGTCCAAGTATCAACCTTTGGACACCGTGTTACTATATGTCCCCCGTGGTATTACTATTCTTGTTTGGAAAGTTTGGGTGGCTCCGGTGGCCCTCACATGTGGCTGGTACCAGCAGGATAAGGATAGAAACAGCACAAAAGTTTGGAAAGTTGGCACCTGACCTGGGCAATAAGCACAGAATGAACAAACCTGTGGCAAATGTGAGATGCAAAACATGTCCCAAGCCAGGGGAAACATGCCCAGACATCCCTGCTGCTGCTCTCCTGGAAGGCAGAGAGCATATCTATGAGCTGGTGGTCTTGGGACACAGCCATGGATTGACAGAAGAACTACTCAGGAGAAGAAATGAGAGAGGGAGAATGGTACTTCCCACCCCAGTGATAGATCTGCCACTACTGAATGATCAGTGGAGGAGGGAAAAGAGGCAGATCTGGGGATCAGCCTGATGATTTTCTAAGTGACTCTGGATTGTATTTCTCAGTGACCTACTCTTACAGTGATGGTGGAGCAGAGTATAAACCCCATGACACCTACACAGTGCAGTGTAGGATATATTCTCTGATTCTATGATCAGGAAGAACCTTCCTGATCCAAGAGCCTGTGGAGACTCGCATGTAGCTCCTCAGTGTGTGGTGGCTGGTTGGTAGAACCTGGCAACTTCTCAGTTTGGGTGTGGCAGATGTAGGAAGGTATGTCAGCTTCTACAAATTGAAGATCTAACCTTCATGAAGAGTTTGATATTAGCAATGTCATGTAAACTGGACAGGTACAAAAAGCCAAACAGGCAGTCTGAAATGAGGACAAGGTTGGTTGCTGTTGTCAGGGCTTGGGTTTGGACATCTAATACTGTAGCTGAGCTCTGCAGACAGAAAGGTACCTTGAAATTCAAAATGCCAGTAAAATGAACAGGGAAGGAACTCCAATTAACAAAGGACAGCATAAAATCTGAAAATTAAACATATGTAATGCAATATTACAGATGTGATCTTTTCATTCCAAACTTTGGGAACATTCAGATCTGCATTCAGATGAGATTCTGAACTTTATAAGAACATCTCCCGGCTAACCAGAACGTGCCATGTGAACTTGTACTGTAACTTTGAAAGAACTGAGGATAATGCATTCTTCCAGTAAGGCTATACTTTAAGAAGCAGCATGTCATGTTTTATTTGGGAAAAATTTTGTATTCTTCTTTATGTATCAATACTATGTTGTTTGCCCTAAATGTCTCATAATCTAGTACAGAAATACATGAAGAAGAGGAGGAGGAAGAATTTTGTAATGTGGATGTGCCATATTTACAATGTGCTGCACAGAAAGAAGATCATGGGAAATTAGCAAACCACTAATAATAAAAGAAATCTCATGGGTATTGCAGACAAAAGATATATTTGCACTAAGCTGGGCCTATATCTGCTCAGAGAAGATAGCAGTATGAAACAGAAAGTGAGAAAACCACATCAGACTTAATCTGCCAGGGGAAGCAGAATTGCACAGAACAAATTACATCTGACCTGGACAAAGTAGATGAGCAATAAGTATGATCCCAACCCCATGCAAGCAACATGAAAAACACATAGGGTGAATGAGCTGGGATGTCACCTAGGGCTGCAGGGGAGGGACATCTGATATCACCGGGATGACTGCACAGGGAAGCCTTTCTGTTTGTGCACAAATTGCAGTGTGGGGGTGGGAATGGGGAAAACAGTGTCTGAAGAGTTCAGATCAGAAGCAGACATGTACCTTGACATGACTCTGAACTACCTGTGGGTATGATTTTGTTTTTTATTCTATGAAATAGAGTTATTTTCTGACCAGTCCTTTGTCTCTTCTTGTACTATGGCAGAGCTTGATAAAAACACTGCCTAGTTTGTTCCTAGTCTTGCTACTAAAAAAAAAAACAAATCTTCACCTGTTTGAAAAAATGAGCAAGGCCCTTTGCTTATGTAATACAGAGTTCACTGGCTTGAATGGGATTATGTTGTTTTGTGTAAACTGAATATCAGGCCTGATACTTTCAGATTCTAAACTCACTGGGATGGGAATTCTCTTTGTGCCTGACACACTGAACACAATGTCACTGATGTGCAAGTAATAGTAAAACAAGCTTATGTTGCTTTTGTGGGCAGAAGCTGCTAGTTTTGGGAGACTGTGCATAGATTTGTCTGAAGTAGATAAACTGTACAATCAACTGGAATGAGGGTAACAGGAATGAGGCAAAGTCTCTTATGAATTCTCATATTTGCATAACAGAATATGGAAAGCATACAGGCTGCCAGGTCAAAGGCTTTCTGTCCCAGGACATGCTGGACCCAATGAAATGGATTTCACTAATTTCACCAAAGTAAATGATTTCCATAGATTTACAAAAAATGCTTGTTTTAAGACAAACCTCTGCCTTATTTATGGAACAAGGATGAATAATTTTCACAGTGTGCTAATTCTTGAATGCAGCTATTTTATTGAAATAGCTCTGAAACAGAATGTTTAAAAAGAATTCTTGTATGTATGTGCAAGTGCTTGTAAGCTCTTTTCAAACTGTGAACAGGAATACATGGAGACAATTGACTCTCACTGGCATTTATGCAAGGGCAGGATCTAAACAGTTAAATGTAGAGCAGGCGGGGTTGGTAATACATTAATTTACAATATCTTAATACTGGACTAACTAAAATTGTTTCAACTTTCTCAGTTCAACACTGAATTACATTTTCTTATAATGGATCATTGCCTCCTGAGAGTCATTCCAATATACCATACTTTTTGACCATTTTAAGACAGGTGTTTCACTTGCAAAAAGTTTTGTGCATTTTAGACTTCAAGATTCTTTTATACAGAAATTTTTATTAGAGTAAAATTCTAATTTTTGCACAGCTTTCATCACAACAGCAAAAATCAGAAAAAAAAAGATAAATACCTCCTTTCAAATAACAGACTGTAGTTCCTCCATCATCTGAATACCCTTTGTCACAGCAAACCTAAATTTAGTTTTCCAAATAATTATTTTTAGACTGATGGAGATGAAATGCTGCTTAATTTCAGTTCTGAAATAACATTCAATCCTATGTTCAGGGATTGTAGTGCTATAACACTTCTGGAGAGACTACACTCATTTTGACACTGACCACGTTTTCAGGGAAGGATTTACCACTGAGTTACCAGGGACACTTCTCGCACACATAGAAATTTGAACATGAAACTGACATAAAATAAAGTACCATTTTCATTATTTTGCAAAGTCAATCACATCTATTAACTATATTAGTACTCCAGATGTAGAAATCATAACAAGCCAAATCCTCAGATAATATCACATAGATATGCATGTCCTTAAAGATGTAAGGAATGATAGCAGGTACAAAATGGAAATAAATGACAATGTTCCTGCTTTAATACACCTGACCAGGAGAATGAATTGCTTAGATAAGAGAAAGACTGCACTTAACAACCTTATTTACTGACTAATTGCCCAGGCTTGATGCAAATAATTAAAGAGAATTTATTGTCCTGTGCCTGCATGTGCAGGATTTAATTGTGTGCCTCAGGATTTTCACACAATCTTGATTATTAACTTTATATATAACAATATATTTTTAAGAACAAAACAGCCCATAACAATAAGATTAAGTCAGCTTTGACAGCAAGTAAAACTGAAAAGATTATTTGCTTGAGTAAAATATACTTTTAAACATTGTCATTGTTCCATATAGCTCAAATTTTGCATGAAAAATATTATGACAAGCATTCAAAGGATGATTGTACTTTAAGCTCAGAACAAGCACAGTCCTTGGCATAAACCGCAATCACTAAAATCCCCAATAATGGAATTACAAGAAAAGTGCTTCTAAGACAGATTATCCCAAAACACTATCTCCCCTCTCCCCCTGAATCACCCGGTACTGAGTCTAGAGGCTTAAGATCAGAGAGATCTGAAATCCGTGCTGCCAGATTAAGGTGTTCTCACAGCTTGACACACAAGAAGGAATGAGTAGACAGTGTGGAAATGCCTTAGGGCAGGAGCTCATGAACAGACCTGCACCCTTGTGCCTGCCTTGCTGTTCCAGACAGCCCGGTGAGGGGAAAGCAGGGGCCCTTCAAGCAGAGGCACAGGACCCACACCTGCTGCACAGGGTGAATTGGGAACATTACCCTTTTAAATGTTATACACAGCCATTTAAAAAAAAAATGCTGTAACCTGGTTACATTCTACCACTTCAAATATTCAAGAAAATTGAGTATAAGGGGGAGGGGGGGAAGAAAAGTAGTAATGGGTCGCATTATCTCACTTCATTTCAGCATCTGTCACAAGACAGGGCTGAAGAGGGGAACTTCCAGGCAATGCCTGCAGAGACCTTCCCCATCAGCTCCAGGGTCTGCCTCTCCTCGTGGTAGCCTGCTCACAATCCTCCATCTGCCTCTTTCTTGAGGGGAGATTAAACTCTTTTCATCCAGTTTATACAGCCAGAACTAATGACAGTACCTGAGATAGCACAGAATTATTTAACTTCAAAGCCAAGCCAACCTGCTTCTTGTAACCACAAGCCAGGGACAGAGTGCCCCTTCATTCATCAGGAGCCACACAGCACAACCGCTTCTATACCCTGGTCTGCATAGAAGTGAAGAATTCTTCTGTCACAGCAAGAAGCACCAAATATTGCTACCTTTATTGTAAAACTCATTTTAGATACTCCACTCCCTCAGTGGAGTAATAGAATGAACTTCAAGCTGAGCTATATTAGCACTTAATGCTTAGTCCATCAGAACAAAAAGCTTTACATAAAATATCTATTTATCTTCTCATTATCATGGCTGTAGCTGTCACATCTTTTCCAGCTACAGTTTGCAGAGTAAGGAGGTCTGGGTGCATTC